AGAGGGGGCCGCCCGCGCCCCTTCCCCGGGCGAGCCCCGTGTGCGGCTCTCCTCAGCCCACGGGCACCTCTCCCGGCCGGGGCAGCGGCTGCCGAACGGACAGCGCTTCCTGGGAGACGTGTTCAGGCAGCGGGTTCTAAAGTTAAGAACGTGTGTGTGGTGCTCCCGTCCCCGCACAAAACATCATCACCGCCTCTCCAGCCGGGAGCGGCGCCTCTGGCTCCCCTGCGGCGGGGGAGCCGCGGTGCCTGCCGTGGCTCGCTTGTCTCCCGGCTGAAGGAACCCTCCACGAGGCAAAGCCTGGAGATCGGGGCAGTCAGGAATCACCAGCGGCCGCTCCTCGCCTCGGGAGCGGGATGGCGGCCGAGGAGGAGAGCGCTGTGTGAACGTAGCCGTGGGGACGCGGTGGCGGCTCTCGGCGCGGGGCTGAGGCTGCCAGGAGAGGAGCCGCTCCGCTCCAGCCGAGCGCCTTCTGCCTGGCACTCGGTGCTCTGAGCGCGCTGGCATGCAGCAGCGATTAGCATACATTAACGAGCAATTAGCATCTGGTAATAATCATTCCTGTGCCAGTGACACTTGGATTTGCAGTCCCCGAGCCGTGCGCTGAGCCGGAGCTCGCAGCAGCGAGCGGCGGGAGGCTCGGCAGAGCCAGCGGTCCGGTCCGGCTGAGCGCGGTGCCGGCAGGGGCCGCGCTCACTTAAATACTGGCGCTCCGCGGCGCCGGCAGGAGGGAGGGAGGGAGGGAGGGAGACTCCCGTGGAAATGATTCATGGCATTCCTTAAATTTTCAACCGTTTCAAGCAAAGTTTGGTCTCTGCCCCGCCACTGTCACTAACCAAGCGCAGCCCAGTGGAGCGGCAACGCTTCCCAAAGGCCTTCCCAAGTTTCCCGCAGAGGAGTTTAGGAAGGGGCAGCCCGAGCCAGCAGTTTCCGCCGCGCTCCTCTCGGGGACAGTCAGAGCTTGAGGGCCCGAAGGGTGTGAGCACAAAGGGAGCCGTGTCCGGGCAGTCAGGCAGTGGGAGCACTGCCCTTGGCATGGGTATGCTTAGACACACGGACAGCATGGGCAGTGTGGACCCCAAATACCCACACTTGCCTCGCTTTCTTAGGTAGGCGGGTCCAAATGTGAAAAGTACTGCTAAAATTCGTGGAGATTCGGTTCACACCGAGTGCGCTTTGCCCAGTGCTGCTGGAGGTGCCCGGGTGTGCTCTGCTGCCTCGTCGTGCTCCTGCTGCAGCTGCTGTGCGTGACCGGACTGCTCATAAGCTGCCTTCAGAGAAGAGCTGAACTTGTTCCAGCCTCGAGCACCAGGAGGAGTGATGGTTCTTCGGTGTTCGCTCCTGTTTTCCTCAGGCTGAGGCTTGCCAGGCCCCAGGGCTCGGTGCAGGATGCCTCCCTTCACTGTCCTCTAAGTGGCCGTGGAGGACAGTGGAGGTGTAGACAATACGAGCCAGATACAGAAGGCAGGAGGAAGCCTGAAGTGGCCCAAGACAATTCAGGAATGGAGGTCGGAGGGAACTTTGGGAAGGATGTTCTGTGAGATAATAAAAAATAGAACAAAAAAAGGAGGTAATGGGGAAGGGGTCTGTGCCAAATGGGAGGTTCAGTGGTAGTGGGCCTGTAAAGGTGCACATGTACAATAAAGATGAACCTAAGAACTGGTACGGCAGGAAGAAGAGATTTGGACCTGGGAAGGAGTCAAGAGAGCAGAAATGAGTTGCTCGTAGAAGAAATGGGCCAACAGAGCTGATGAGGACAAAGTACTGAGTTTGGAGAAGAAGCTGGGGAACAAGAGTCAGGCTAGGGTAGGTAAATATGGGAACCAGTCTGGACAAGAAAAGGAATGGCCAGAAACGGGAAGAAATTAGGATTCTGCTGAAAAGCTGAGTAAAAGACTGGAAAAAAAGCCTAGCAGTGATTGGTTTGGCTGTCCTAGGATGTCCTCTCTTGTCTCCAGCACCAAATGGACACGTATTTCACATGGGCTTTAGGTGATACCGGTGAGTCCTTTAGTTTAATACATTGGAAAGGGGGAAGTGGTGCAAGATGTCTGGTTTTGGGGGTGCCTGAATCTCTCTGGTTGTGTCCCTCTCTAGAGCATTGAATCCTCTAGTCTCACATTTTGGTATCAGAATTTCTTCAGAATACCTGAAGGCAGGCTTAGGAGGTATTTCCATGGTTCTTACCACAATTATATGTGTGCTTCATAGCATTAGAAAATAGAATGTCTCTATGAGATACAAGGTTGGCATATTCTGGACAGAATAGTTAAAAGGAAGCTGGGACCTTATTTCTCAGAGCAGACTTTGCATGGATTTTGGTTTCAGCAGTTCTGAAAATGAGGCCTCAGAAGGAGCCATACTGAGGTGCTGCTCATCTATGAAAGGTTTTAAGCATTGTGCCTGGCTTCACAAAAGAATTCTGTGGCAGAAGCAGGGAGAGTACCCAGCTCTTCTGGATAGCTTTCATCACCTTAATGCTCAGAAGATTATCCTTTTTCTCCAACAATATTGTACCCACATGACTTTTCTCCTTGAAAATTAACTGGGTCCCAGCGCTGGGGCTACCATCTAGTCTCATCTAAAAAAGTCTGACTTTTGAGCCAGGATTTTCACCAAAAGCTTCTTCAACAGGTCAAACAAGATTCTCATCATCCTGATCTTTCTGGACAGCAGCTGCTGTCTCCTGCACCTGATAAGGCAGGATCCTGTTTACCAATTAGCATGTGAGCGTGCAATGCAGAACAAAGGGATGTAAATCAAGTGGCACAGACAGCTCTTTTTTTGGCACATCCTCTTCAGTACTCGATTTTCTCACCATAATATTGCTCTTAAAACATTTTCATGTGCATGTGCGGTTAAAAATAGGTGAGCTGAAAATGAATTTATACAATCTTTTAAAGTATAATTGTGCCCCAAATTTGCCTGGAGCACACCACTGATCATTTTATCTGAAAATGGATGTGCTCATTTTTTGTTTATATAGATCATTACACAAAACACAAAAGCTTATAATAAAAGTTATTTAGTTAATGTCTCTAATCCCAACATTTGTCTTTGGAACATGTCAGTTACTTGCACCAGTGGAACTGTGGTGGAGAACTACTTGAATATTTTGTTTGGAGCACCATGGAGAGAAGCTGTATGTTGTGCCAGGAAACCCTTGGACACGGTGGGTAAGAACAGATGCATTCATTTTCTGGGCCATGGGTAATGTCTGGCAAGAAAAGCACATCTGGGAATTCACTGATATTCACATGGTGGGAAACAAAGGGAAAAGCAGAAGGGGAAGGGGTGAATGCATGGTTGGAGAAGAGTTATCAAGAGATGAATTACTAAATTCTGTGAGGTGAGAACAGGGTAGTAGGAAGTTACATATCGATGAATCAATAGCAATAAAGTGTCAGATAATGAATGATAAGTTTTGATAACAGTTGAGGTAACTGGGAAAAATTGTTGAGCACATGAGGATAGGCTCACACAGACACAGGCAAACTTCCATGACAGGGATGTCCCTGCTCAGACACATGACTGACTCCTGCCAACCCTTCTGAGAAGTGTCTCCCATCCAACCCTCTTAAAATGCAGCTCTGCCTCAGAAGTTTTTTTCTCCTGGTACATAGAGAGGTCTAGGCTGGCAGGAGTTATTTCATATCTGTAGCTGCATCCAAGGGTTCATGAACCGTTCTACCCCTCTGGGACTTTCCTCCTATTTTCCCATGGTATCACCCTTATCACCCACTGGCTACCATGTTCACCCAGTGCCTGTCAACACCTCAGGATTTCACTCTCACCACACTTAAATAGCTACATATAACTGTTACAATCTTTTCACAGAACAGATACAGATATGTACAAACAACAGACTTATTTAATTTGGGCTGGCCTAGATCCTAGGTCTTGAAGGGACAGAAGGCAAGTCATGGTAGACTTGAGGTTTCTCCGGCTTGTGTCCAAGGATATTCAGAGCAGAAGCTGAAAAATCAGAAGGTCTCTCTCTGCTCTCCGCTCTCCAGCATTCAGCATGAGCTGAAGCTGGGGCAATGCTAAAGGCCAAGCAGGACTTTTTGTGCCATTTCACTGATGGTTGAGATAACCTATGCATGTTTTGGGCTTGATTACAGCTTAACTGCTGGTAGACAGCATCTTAAGGCATGCATCAGTCTGGATCGATTTTTCCCTTGTTCCATGTTGTCTGGAGCTGGCTGCAAACTGTTGCTGGGGTGTTTGCTCAGGGCAGCAGCATGATGGCCTTTAAGCAGCCCCAGTGTGCAGCCCCAGCAGCCCCAGGGTGCAGCCTGGTGTATGTAGTCCTGTTGCTGTGGCAACCCACAGCCTCGCCAGTGGTCTATCACAAAGCATTAACTTTTACATTATGTCTTATTTTATTATAGTTTCTGCACATTTTGGCTCTCTTTCCCCTGGGACTCAGCTGCACTGGTGAAATGTTCCTTCTTAGGGAGTAGGAAATGGCATTTCTTTCTATTTCTCTAGTGTTAACAACTGTGGGAGAGGC